GTATGTATGTGTATGTGGATGAATAAATAAAAAAAAAACATTTTCTCAAACAAAAAATCAAACGCTTTTTTCAATTCCGGTGGTCACAAATTCGGTTCGAGAATAATACATTCTGTCCAAGAAAGCCTACAAATTTTGGCAGTTGTTACCATTTTTGAGTACACGATCCCCCCTATGCGGTATCCGAGACTCTGAGCCACTATTACGGGAGAATCACCCATGTATATATATATATTATATATTTACGCACACGTACACCAAAAATACACGCGATGATGGACCCTATTATGGAAATAAGTGATGTATCGGAGAGGCAGCAGCAGTTGTGGCTTATCGGGTTTTCGCTGACTTGGTCGGAGAGACCATAATATATAGACGGATGAAACGAGCCAGAATGTAAAACTCGAGAACTGCTGATATGGAGCCCAGCTGTTGCTTCTCCAGCTCTTTCTCCTTTTTTGCATCTGTCAGAGTACCTTTATGTTATGCAGTTTTTAATACGGGCTAAAACTTCGGGAGGATGGAAGATTCCGAAAATTAAGCGCCAACTGCACTTATTGTTATCATATTTATATATATGTATATATATATACTACTATTTTTAAGCCTCGATGTTGTACCTATATGATGTAATGGTCGATTTGCGGATGAATGTACATGCTTACGCGCACGTGTATATTATATATGGCAGCGGATGAAGATGGGTAATTTTAATTTGATCGATGGGAGTCGCATCAGTTTTTTTGTCATTCGCCCATTGTGAATAAGTTATTAGTACTCGCTCTTTCCTCGTTTTGAAATCTGAGTCAAATGCACGCGCTACGAATTTCATTACAGCTTTTTTAATGTTAGGGGTATGTAGTTGGTGAAGTAACAATCGAAGCGCCTACCTGAAAATAAATTTTACTTACTTTTTCTTGGTGTGTATTTAGCTTTTTTTTTACTGATTCTTTTGTTATTTCATGGCTTTTGATTCCTCACTACGAGCACAAAAGATTTTTTAAAAATTTTCGCATGTCACCCATCGCGGCCGGAAGTAAAAAGTTTATCGATACACGGACAATCTAAAACTTTTTACTTTACCGCGGGATTATATCAGTGTATTTGTACGCCATTTCGGAAGAAATGGGTGTTTTTTCCCTGGTGACGTTACCTATATACATCATCATTTCATATCTTAACTTAAAAAAATTTTTCCTAGAAATTTCACGCTAGAACTAATCTTTGACTAACTTATGAAAAAAAGGGGAAAAACGTCCATCACGTATACTCGTGCAGATTCGACATACATGCAAATTCCTTATCCCCCTCTTCATCTCTCCCCTGGTTTTTTGGCACCCGAGACTTTTGCCCCGCGCTTTAAAAAGAATACGCATTTTTGCAACAGATAAAATTACATGTACTAAAAAAAAAAAAAAAAAAAAAAACGAACAAACTCATCTCGATAAAATGTAAGGCATGCCCGGTAATGGCAATTTTATCTGCGATTCCGGATATACATTGTTTTCCAAACAGCACTCGAGCACGCAGCGAGTATTGAGCAAATCGGTGTCGAAAACATCAACGGCACGCGCTCTCCTCTCGAAATGAGCAAGCAAGTAAAATTACTTAACGAGCCCAAGCGGAAAAGACTGCCGAATGGCAAACACATGGCACTGGTGTGGGTATATAGCGTTGCACCGCAAGTGTCACGTGTACGGACATATGTATAATATGTAAGTGTGACCAAGGAAGAGAGAGAGAGAGAGAGCAATGCGAACAACAAGATTATACATTATATTGACAAAAGGGGAAAAAGTTTGACCAAGTGGTTCCATAATTCATTCAAAAAATAATGTAGATCTCGCGTGGTACCAAACTTTGGGAAAAATATTTACGGTTGCGATTGCAAGAAAAAACCAATCATTGTGCTATCTAGATTTCGTTGCGAACTAATAAGGAGAAGAGGATAGTTTTTTCTTAAGATGAATCAATAACACATCAGCCGGACCGGTCCACATATCCTGTTGAGTCTACGTATATGTATATTAGCACCTGCAGCGCCATAGAAAGTTTTAGAAAGTCTTGTTTCACGACTCCCGTTAAATTATTATTAAAAATACTTAAAAAAACAAATAATAACAAACTCCTCTGCATAATAGTAACAATTAAATTTACAAAGGGGTGGATCATAATATTTTAATAATTTTTTTCAAACTGTAATTTTGTGCTTTCGGTGCTTTTGTGCGGTCATTTTTTTTTTTTTTTTTTTTTTCAAGCTGAGTTTCCTAAGTATGTAGTAGCAGTAATATTGTATAGACTATGGCATCACGTTTGCGGCGGCACGAAGCAATCATCAGCCGATGTGCATCAGGATAAAATCCCGACGGTGACTCACGCGATGTGCTTCAATTGTCCGTACTTATTGTATGCGAAAAAAAAAAAAAAAATGGTCCAAGAGGAAAGTGCGCAAGTTCAATTGCCGGATGGCAGCTCGTTCTCTTGATGAGTTGTTGAATTAATCTTCACTTGCTCGCGCCCATGCAGTGATTCATGGGGCGAAAGGAGACGAAAGTCTGAAAAGATGATAATAAATCGCTAAACGATCATAGTCGCGGTTGATGGACGATAAATCATCGCAGTGACTCAACTTGCACGGACTTTAGTCGGTAACGTCTAAATCCTTAAATTTGTTCTCGTGCACTTTCAGCGCATAAACAGACGCGTAACAAAATCGCCGAACTTAATTGCTCGTTGCCAATCTAATCAACGTAATCGGCAGTGGCGACATTTTGACACACAAATACCATGTTTATCACACGAGAGGGACAACAGGTGATAACCGACAGCGCGAGTCTTTCCCGTACCAACAATAACGCAATACGTAAACAAACCCGTCGGATGGCCGACGCGATGATAAACAACAATAAACAACAAAAAGAAAGGCGGGGGGGGGGGAGCGAGAGAGAGAGAGAGAGAGTGGAGAAAAAAAAGGCAAAAAGCTTGTCGAGAATTGCAGGATCATCATCATCGAGGCAATGTTCACGGACGGCAATTGGCTGGAGGTGGTCGCCACGGTGCTCCTCACGCTCGCTGTGGTCCTGACGAACTGCAAGCCGCTCGTGAAGTTCTGGAGCTGCAAGAAGTGGCCGATGGGAGCGCCGAGTAAGCCGCAGCTTTTAGCTACCATTGGTACACAGAGGCGTGGGTGATCATAGGGAGGTCAGGGGCTCAAAGTAAGACCGTTTTATTCGCAGGCACGACAGGCTCGATCAACGAGGGCGCCAAGGAGGAGGACGCGAGGCCGAAGAAGGTGAAAAAAAAACTCCTCACGGTCCGGGACGTGCCCGGGCCAATGGCCCTACCGATCATCGGCACTTCGTGGATGTTCTTTGGCTTCTGCGGCAGTTACAGCATCGAAAACGCCCACCAAGCCTACAGAGGTAAACTAAGCATCCCCTCTTCGAGTTTTCACGTGTTTAGCTCTTGCATACGCGTATAATATTATATATAAGTATATATATATATATCATGTGTGGCATTTAATAAGCCTCACCGAGCTCGATTGGTTTATTTGGGTCACGCTCGTTGTTATTGGGGAATCGACCACCAAATAAGTACCTACAAATGTATTCGCGTCAGTGGTTATTATTGGGATGGCCGCGACCATCCGGAGCCTCGACTTTATTGCATACTCATACGTGTGTATACAAGTATTGCGCGATTGGCCTTATCGAGTTTTTTCGGCCAAGTCAGTCGTAATGTATATATATTATGACGATGAGTGTTAAACAAAATATCGGTTTGTCGATCGGTTGTAAGCGGCATCGGATCGTTCTTTAATTCGTCACTTAAGAGCAGATATGAGGAGTCGCTACGGGCAAGTGTGCAAGCAGGAATCGTACTGGAACCACCCGATAGTGTCGTTGTACGAGCGGCGGGACATCGAGGCGATACTCAAGCGGCCCGTCAAGTATCCCATGAGACCGGCGCAGGAGGTCATCTCGTACTACCGGCAATCGAGGCAGGATCGCTACGCCACCCTCGGACTCGTCAACGAGTTAGTACACACTCATTTTATCATATTTTAATCTCAACTACATTATACGTGCTAATTGATAATCCCCACTGTTTTCATGCTCTCCCGATGTTTGTATGGTGATAAATTATTTTTTGTTTGTCCGCGTGAAAATCGGTTTCATTTTTCTCTTTTCTCTTTTTTAACGCCACTTGATTTATTTTTTCCCTCCTATTACGATCATCTGTATACACCGAATCATAACACGGGGTATTGAGCACCGTAAATTAAACCTCCGCGATAATCATTGTCCTGTAACCATGTGTGTGTGTACAAACAGTAGCAAATTCGCTTTACCATTTCATATACGAGTGGGCGTATGAATTATATTATGTATGTACCAGTATATTCAATAAAATGAGATAAATGAGAGAAATGAAACCAAATAACATGAATGCACTGTAAATCCAAGTGTGCTATTTTAATTGGAGCGTGTAAACCGCCGTCACGGAATTTACACGTTTCGAGGCGTTTTATTCCAACACGCTTCAAGTGTGTATTTTCCACACGCCTCTAAGCAAATTATTGCTAATTTTTTATTTGCTTCGCAAATCATATGTTTTGTGGCCAAACAAATAATAAAGTTGCATATTACTAATAAAACAAGCAGATTCAAGTACCACCACTGAAAATTATTTTTAAAAATTTTTGAATTGACTGTCATTTAAACTATTTTAGGTTCAAATGATTCCTTTTTTTTGTAGAAAAGAAAAAACACACGTATAAAAACTCGTCACTTTTGTTTAATTTAAGTTGAATTAATAACTCACTATCACTGACTAACAACATAGCAAACTACCTGTGCGATGCATGTGATGCACATCTTAGGATAAACATCTCCTAGGAAGCTTCCACTATAAATTTCTTTCACATCAATCCCGAAAAAGCAGTTATTATTGTAAAAATCCTTCAGACATCAGCATAAAATGGCCAAATGAGCAAAGATGTATACCCTAACTCGTTGTTCACGATGTTCACTCTTGGACTTGGACAAATTAATACTGAGATGATAAATGAACGGTTTCAATATATTATTTAATACATCACATTTCATTACACAATTATTGTAATAAAACACGCTATGTATGTGTAATTAAACACACTTAGATTTACAGTGTGATGTATAAATTGTGCGATTTTCATGCAGGGAGATGATCATTATAGTGGCGGGTGTGAGTGATTGTGCGCGGGTGTGTGTTGAAACTAGCTATTAGTACGGGTGTGGGTGAGCGCGTGGTTGAGCGGGGCTGCGATGATATTAAAGCAAGTGCCAACAAACACTAGGCAGGGAGTTACGTGGCAGAAATTGCGGGCTACCCTGACGCCGGAACTAATGGGGGCTAAAACCATCCTAGGTTTCTTTCCCGCGCTCAACGGCGTGACCGACGACTTGATCGATCTGATACGAAGCCGTAGAGCCGTCGGCACGGCCGCCGTGCACGGGTTCGAGGAGCTCGCCTACAGGATGGGCCTTGAAAGTGAGTAAAACTCTCTTTTTTTCTTTTTCTTTTTTTCTTTTCTTTTTTTTTTTTTCTTTTTTTACTCCAACATTAATCAGTATCCTCTATATCATATCCATACCATCCTCATTTTGGCCTTTTGGAGCAGTTATATCAATGCATTGCTCTACCTTTCCCGATGACCGAATCATATCATGTCACTCGATTTATTTGTTTATATAATTGAATCCAACATCACCCTCGCTGTTTTATCTCGATTATTTTTTTCACGTCTTGAACAATGATGAATAATATTCGACTTCCGATTCATTACGATTTTTATGCGAGTCAGACCGAGTACATCACAAAAAAAAAAAAAAAAAAAAAAAAAAAGTTGAAATTATCTCAACTCAAAAGTTGTACATTTTTAATCGCGGGCACGAGCAGGTATTAATTTTTCATACATAGCAAAAAAAAAAATATATATAATCAGTTACAGTGACATCGATGCATCTTCGTCAATTTCCACGCTTTTGATTGAAACGATATATTTAATTCGCCAATAAATCGACGTTGACATCAATGATCGATTAATCAAGACACACGTTGATCCCTCCCAGGATTAATGCACTCTCGTTGAACTTGTTAGATAAAAGGGTCGATTAAATACATATATCACGAATACAATTTGCAGGCACCTGCATGCTGATGCTCGGCAGGCACTTGGGCTTCCTAAAGCCCGAATCCGTCGGCTCGCTCATCGGCAAACTGGCGGATGCGGTCAGGGAACACTTTTTGGCCTCGAGAGACGCCTTCTACGGCTTCCCCACGTGGAAGCTGTACGCCACTTCCGCCTACAAGAATCTCACGAAAAGCGAGGAGGCCATTTACAAGTTTGTTATATACTTATTTACACGTTTATTACACGTCCACATGGTGTATTTTTCCTTGCCCCTCTACATGCGTATCGTTTATTCGATGATGTATTATTGTTAAACGGTCAATTATCACGTGCAGCATAATATCGGAGCTGATAGAGGCGACGATAAACGAGCACCACGAGAGCGCGAGCGACGAGGACATCGAGGCGGTCTTCCTCTCGATCCTCAGGGAAAAGAGCCTCGACATTCGGGAAAAGCGGGCCGCCATCGTCGACTTTATCGCCGCGGGCATCCACACGGTAAGTGCGAAGCAAAAACATGCATACGCACGGCTTGGAGGGATTATACATGGAATTGGTTGATATTTCAAGGTGGGCAACACGCTGGTCTTCCTCCTTCACACGCTCGGCCGGAATCCCCGGGTCCAGCGACACCTGCGCCGCGAGGCCGACTCCCTAGCGCCGCCGCGCTGCGACATCGGCATAGACGACCTCAAGGACGCCAAGTACATCCGGGCTTTCATCGCCGAGGTGTTCAGGTAACGGATGATCGACCACCGAGTGTGTGCGTTGAACGATTCATTTTTGCCAAGAGCAATTGCTCTCGATCATCGGGTCGTGTGGGTATAGGCGAGTGAGAAATTTTTCGAGTTGCAGGTTACTTCCGACGGCTCCGTGCATAGCTCGGGTACTCGAGGAGCCCATAGATCTCGCCAACTACCATCTCGGTCAAGGGGTAAACACGTTGCAACAAATACATATACATACCTATAAATACACTTTGGTTGCCCGTAATATATGTTTAATGCAATCGCGCTTGTTCATCCAGACGGTGGTGCTCCTGCAGACGTGGATCGCCGGGCTCGACGAGGCAAACTTCAAAGACGCCGATCAGTGTATACCGGAACGTTGGCTCGAGCCGGACAAGTACGAGCCCCACGCCCCGCTGCTGGTCGCGCCTTTCGGCTTCGGCCGGCGCATCTGTCCCGGCAAGCGGTTCGTCGAACAGGCCCTGCAGCTCATCGTCGCCAAGGTACCTTTTTTTTCCCCTCTGGTCCTTTGAACTCCCGTGTTTATGCTTACTCGAGTTGATTTCTTTGCCCTACAGACCGCGCGGGAGTTTGACATAGTCGCGGACGAGGAGCTCGGGTTGCAGTTTGAGTACATAATGGCCCCGAAGGGTCCGGTGACGATTTCGTTCCACGATCGAGTCGACGCTACGTAAGTGGTCGTGCTTGATCCGCATAGAGAGAGAGTGCTACGAAGAAGAGGAGGCGAAGTAAAGAAGAAAGCGAGAGAGAGCGAGAGTCTGAAATTATCAATACCACCCGAATAGCACTCGATTGTTGATAATTATCTACTTTATACGTATACATATACATATAATATAATATATAGTTTATGTTTAACGAGAGGCAAATGTCGGTCGATGTTTACTCGTCAACTTGGATTTTCTCCGCGTATTATTTATCTTCTTGTTTTTGCAATTTTAGCTCGTTTTTTTCTTTTTTTTTTTCTTCTTTTTTAATCGCATCGTCCTGTTTACATTGTCCGCGTCTCGAGTCTTGCGATGCTTATATTTATACACCGTTTATTTATCAGATCACTTTTTTTCTTTTATTTTACCATATATGTAGCTCAAGTGTTTGAAAAAAACTGCGCGGATACGCAGAAAGATTTTTTAATTTAATTTTGTTTATCTTCAGGGAGCCATGGAAAAAAAACTATGTTGAATCGCTCTTTTACGTAAGACCGCGCTTGTACGTCTCGTTACTAATTGTTATTATTTTTTGTTTTTCTTTTTTAATTTTACTCTCGTCAGTTATTATACGGTTTACGATAAGTCGTTATAGTGTGTAATGTGAAAATAGTACGATGCCACTTTACTACCCAACTTATAATATTTTAATCCATCAATCCCGAATGGAAAGCATTGCATGCATCGTTTACTGTACTGTTTATTAAACAACTCATTTTTGTACGTTATATACACGAATACTTATTTGTCTTGGAGTCAATAGGTCGCACCTACTGTACAGTAATTAACTCGTTGATAAAAGACTATACGTGTCATGTTGATAGGTCAGCTGCAAAATGTTGCACCCAACGTGTACAGTCTAACTTTTAGAGTAAGTGTAGTATGTGATGTATTATATTTTTGTACAAGACGTGCAATATGATTCTTTGTTTTTTTTTTCTTCTGTTTTATTAAAAATTATCGCATGTATGCATACCAATTAAACCATTTGTTGTGAAACTGTTGAATGAAAAAAAAGAAAAAGAAAAAAAAAAATTATGCAGTTACTCCGTGGATCTCTTATATTATTTATTTTTTTTATAAATACTGTCCGATCGTTCTGCATGTATATTCATTATAACTGATACCGTAAATGAAAAATTTTATTTTTAAGTGAACTACAGTAATTTGTTAATTATACTTTTTTTATTCAATAAGTGTGGAAAATAAGGTTATTTCGTTTAATACATCATTAATGTTTTATTTCGAATTCGATGTGTTAAAGTTAAACTCTACAATTAGTAGAGTAAAAAGAAAAAAAAAAATATGGTCATGGTAAAAAAAAAAAGAGAACAATAAAGTATTATTATAATCACAAGTCAAGTTTATTAATATCGATTTTCTCTTTGATACAGATAATATGTATGTATATTATATGCAAATATATATATATATATATATTACTTAATTGTTAGTCAGGTGTTACAAAATACTATTTTTATATTTATTTTGCTTGGCGGAGCGCTCGGAAGATTCGTGAGTATGGGTGAGAAAACAAATGTCAACGCGGGACAACATCCAGCTGTACCCGCTACGATGATGATTAAAGTACTAACAATAGTAATAATAATATCAATAGTGACAGTACTAGTAATAATTATTAATAATAATAATAATAATAATATAATGAATCTCCTCCCTTCTCATACATGATTGTCCTTCCTTGCGTTGGCCATCAAATAACAAAAGAGAGAGACGTCGTATTGTTACATGAGTCGTAGAATAAATAGTAGATATAGAAAAAAAGAAAGTGGGAGCAGCGCCGTAAAAAAGCATTGGCTGACTCAAAAAAAGGATGATAATAAGAAACAAAAGAGCATAAGTAGCGTTCAGTCATCTCCCTTAAAACACGCGTAAAATGGCACGTGAGGGATATCATAATATGATTCTCGGTCATATTTAATATGTCATCATCATCATGGTATAATATATATTATATTCGGCACTTTATTGTCACACGCGTGTCTCTGTGATGCATGTGTAAAAACAACACCACAGACAGATTAGGCCAGAGAGAGAGAGAGAGAGATATAACAAAACAACAACAAATATATACGTACTAAAAACAGTGTTGTATAAATAATATACATAAGTATAGGTCATTACGTACTAGCCTCACTTGACGAGAGTTTTGATGCTCTTGGGCAGGTTTGGTATCGAGCCCTTGTTAACGCTCGCGGCGGTGGGCCGCATGAAGCTCTGGCTTCGTGCGGCGACGGTGCCGCTGCGCGGCTGGCTCAGTCTGGTCGCGCTGTTCCGCGCTTGCAGCGAGCTCCTCGAGTCGAGCTGCTTCGCGATCCGACCGACCAACGACGACGGTCCCTGCTGCTGCTGGCGCCCGACGCTGCTTCCACTGCTGCTGCGCGACGTCACGGTCGTCGGCCGATTCCGCTGATGGCCCGAACCTAATACCCCACTCGACGGACGCTGCTGTTGCACCTCCTGCTGACAAACAACGACGACAGTGCCACTTTACCAGGTTAGCTCTCGATGTGTCGATGTGTATGGAGACGGGTGGGTTCGCGAGAGACTCACCCCTGCGGCTCTGCGGATGTTCCTGGCGGGTCCGATGCTGCTGCCGCTGCTGCTGCTTCGGCTGGCCGGTATCTTGGTAACGGAGGACCTTGGCGTGGAGGGCCGCCGCTTGTCCTCGGCCGCTGCCCCTGAGCTCTTGCGCAAGTCGTTTGTGAGCGCCCTTATGGCCGAGGTGTACCTACCGAGTTGGGCTTGGCTGGGTGTCCCGGGCAGTCCCCCGATGTTCCTGACCGTGTTGACCGACGTCGAGCTGTTGAGGGAGCTGCGCGAGCTTCGCAGGCTACTTCGTGAACCCGAGCGCTCCACCGCCTCGTGGCGCGAGCTCGCCCCACCCACGGTGCTCAAGGACGTTGTTCCTCGCTTCGCGCTCTCCAGGCCCCGGTTGCTGCTGCTCGGGAAGCAAACGGTTGGTGTGCTGTTGTATGTGTATAAGAGGGTCGGGGGGGGGGGGAGAGAGGGCTTACCGTGTGGTCGGGACCTCGCGTTTGACGCTGCTGGTGCGCTTGGGTAGGAAGCTCCCCGAGTCCTTGCTGGCCACGCTGTCCCGGCTGTCGCGCCTCTCGAAGCCGCCCTTGATCCTCGAGATGTTCTTGTCCTGGATGGCGGTGGGTCTCGGGTCGGAGCTACCGATGACGCCCTTCGGTAGGCCACCGCTCGTCCTCGGGACGGCGGTGCTGGTGGCGGTGGGGGCCGCCACGGCGGTGGTCGTGCCCGTGCGGGTGAGCTCGGCCGGGGAGCAGCGCGTCGAGTCGTGGGTGTCGGTCTCGTAGTTGCCGGACGAGGCCTCCTGGCTGAGGGTCTCCGAGACGAGGCTCTGCGTCTCCTCGAAACCCTCGTCGTTCAGATCCAGCTCGCGCGCCTTGCTCGTCGCCGTCAGGTCCGAGATGTACCGCGGCGAGCCCTGCTGGCGCCCCGGCAAAGTAGACGCCGGCTGCTCCGTGACCTTTGACCCGCTGCCACTGCTGCCTCCTGTTTACATTTTTTCGCTCATCTTACAATTTTTACCACCTACGTCATGTGGGGTTTTTTTTTTTTTTTTTTACATGTCCATGAATTTCGGTGGTCAAACATCAGGGGATCAATGGTTTCTCGAAACCCAAACACCAGAAACAGCTCGTACACATGATATAGGGATGACTGAAAGATGTTTCTCAAGTACTTATAGCCTACGGGATGAGAGAAACATTATATTGTACCGTTGGCTCGAGCGGTGGCCAGGAGCAAACTGCCGGGCGGCAGGTCCTCGGCGAGGGGGCTGGTAACGAGCTCGGGCTCGTTCATGAGTCTCCGCGACTCGCGCACTTGGCTGGGATCGATCATGCTGCGCCTCCTCTCGCGGCTGGGCGTGGCGCGCTCGGCAACGAAGCTCGCGGGCTCCCTTGGCCGAGACTCCTGCATCACCGGGCTCAAGACTGTATTGGTAACTGCCACGACGGGCGCCGGTTGGGTGACGGGCAGCCGGGAGGAGCCTCCTCCCCTGGTGGCGCTACCGGCGCCGGGTATTCCGGAACTCGCCAGTTGTTGGAGGTCCTTGGCCGCGGCACCTACCCCCGCCACGGCCGCGTCAATCTCCTGCTGGCTGGCCTCGCGCCGCTTGAGCTTGTCCTGCCAGACGCGGAGCATGGCGTCGCTGTCCCGAGCCTGGGAGCCGTCGTCCGTCGCCAGCGCGAGACTGCTGGGCCGACGGGCCGAACTGACCTCCCCGACGCCCCCGTCCGGCACGCACTGCTCGAGCTTCGCCGGTGTCGAGTCCTTGCCGTCGAGGACCACCGGGTCCTGGCTCTTCTTGTAGCGACGCGTGCGCCTGGTCGCCGAGAACCTGTCAAAGTTGCCGGTGCCCAGATCGGGCACCGCGGCCCCCGCCACCTCCTTGCTGTCGGAGGTGAAGAGCCGCCTGGAGGCCGGGGGTGTCTCCACGTTGTCCGAGTCTATGTCGATCCTGTCGTTGACCGCGTCCTCGGCGCCGCGCCTACTCAGCTGGGAGAGACGCCGGGACTGCGGGACGACGCTCGGGGCTACCGGGGAGCGCAGGTAGATCGTCAGCTCGTCGTTGCCGCCCGACTCGCCGCTCTCCGCGCTCGTCTTGCCGCTGTTCTTCTTTCGCTCCTCCTCGCGGATCGCCTGCGAATGTAGCCATGGCGGCTCGGTCATTTAGGATAGTTAATGGCTGGAGATTGCACGTACCTGTAGGGTGCTCGATCCGAGGATGTTGTCCGGGTTGAGCCGAGACCGATGCCTGCGGGAGTACCGGGGGTCGCTCTCCTCGACGCTCGAAACGTTTAAACTCGACTTTCTCCAGGGAGACTTGTCCTTTTGCGACGAAGCGGGCTGGGCTTCTGGTGTGTGTGTTTAAGAAGAAATACATGAAAATCCTACATTAATTGCCTGTACAGTGTTTATTGGGTGGCGCGTACCTTCTATGGCTTCCATGGTTCGCATGACGTCGGTCTTCTCGACCGACGGCCGCCAGTCGTATTTTTGGTACTTGTCGCTTGCCGATGCGTCCTCGGTGAATATACTCGGGTGCAGGACTCTGCCTTCGTTTTCTGCAGGATAAGCAAGTAATTGTAGTATATATCACTAGAAAGCCACCGATGAATATGATACGCATATGTATGGACGCTCACCAGAGTCTTCGAAGGACCGGCGATTGGCTTGTCGCTGCCTCGTTTTTCGCTGAAGCTCCTCACCCGCGCGCTCTTCCTTCTCGTTTTCCGTGAGCCAAGCCTCGATCTTTTGCCTCCACGCTCTCCTATATTGTTTTCAAAAGAACCAATATTTACGTAATTTCATCGGTACAAACGATATGCACATTAGGTATTAATTACCCAGTTGGTCGGGTCTCTTCCTCCTGAGCGAATGGCTTGCTCTCGACGAGAGGCGACGGCGAACTCGGTCTCTCGCGGTCTCCCGAGAAATCGGCGTTCAACAGGTCTCCCCGACGTGGCTGGCCGCGCGCTCGCTTAGCCCACGAGCGATCTGCGGACAGACACAAATTTCTGAGTCACCAAAGCACGACGAGCATACAACAATCAAACAATTGTAACATACCCAAGCTGCCCCACGACTTTCTTTCTCGCGCGTTGTCCTGGCCAGTGGTACGTAAAAAGTCCATCAGATTGTTGTCGTCGTCCTCGCACGGGATGCGACTTCTTCTTCGGCGTAGGGTTCCATTTGGCGTTATATCTGGGAAACGAGGGATCGGTATATGCAGGTCAATATGCATTTCGATACAAAGATTTTTATGAAAAAAAACGGCAAACCTGGCGAATAGGTATCTTCTTTGGTAGAGAGCTGATCGGGACCTCCCGAGCACGAGCCGAGGCGCCGGCGGATACTCGGCGATCCAATGGTCGATATGTCCTCGTCGGACGTGACCATGCCATTCTGCAGTCTCTTGATCTGGCAATTTTCCAACAATGGAAATGTATATAAAGTCTACTGCCCAAGGGGGGAAAAAAACAACTCAACAGCGTAGGCTTACCTTGACGCCGGACTTCTCCAGCGAGCCGTACTCCATCAAGTACAAGCTGTCCGACTCGGAGTTGGGCGTCTCCATCTGGCTGCTGTTCACTGCCGAATAAAAAAGAGTAGGAAGCGTTAGTTCGATCACCCGCGAGTACTAGTACAGGAATTGTTGAAAAACCAACACTCACGGAGGCGCTTCTTGGCGAGGAGCTGCTCCTCCCTCTGCTTGCGCCTCGCGAGCACCTGCTCCTCCTGGAGCTTGCGCCTCTCGTTCTCCGCCACCGCTTGGTTGAACTTTTGGCAAAACTGGTGGAATATCTTGAAGCACTCCTCGATCTTGAAGGTGTTGGCGTCCTCGCAAAAGAACTCGGCCAGGGTCCGCCTGACGCTGTCGAGCTCGTCCATGTCGCGCTGCAGTTGGGCCATCTCTTGCTCGGCCATCTGGAGGAACTGAGCCATCTGCTCCTGGATGTCGGGCTCCGTAGACGGCACCTGTATTTGACTGCGGATCTTCTTGATGCGCGCGTCCAGCGCGTTGTACTCGTTCGTCAGCTGCTCCACCGTCGTCCTTTTCGTATTTACCACCATCATTATTAATACAATCATTTTTATCTCCAGATGATTGGATACTTAATGAGAAAAAAAAAGGATTTACTTGGTAGCTGAGTCGAGGGCGTTCATTCCCCGGGCAAAGTTCAGCAAGTCCTTTCTCTTCCGCTCGGCTTGCTGCGAAAAAAAAGGGGTCGGTGAAATTGAATACCACAAGTATATATGTGAGCGCGAAAAAATTGGAACGGCAAGGACTCACCATCGCTACGTAATGGATGAGATTCATACCGGGCTTGTTCGCCCGGATCTCCGTGAGCTTCTGGAGGGACGACAGCTTGACTCCGGCGGCGTTTCCCGCGTAACCGCCCTGCGAAAATACAGCGAGTGTAACAACACATCATGTATCATGCGTATACCGTAACCAAGTGATAATTATATCATGGGGGGGGGGAGCCTCACCGAGTTCAAAAAGTTACCGGCCACTAATACCATGTAGAGCACCTCTTGCAGAGATTTGTTCGTCATGAGGTCCTCGCCAGCGAGGATCATCGAATTTATACTTGGTTCAAGGTAACTCATGTTCGCCGCGAACTCCTCCTTCAGCAGCATGCACTCGATTCGCAATTTATAACTATAATCGGGATCATGTACGTTTTAATCATCAGCGATCATAGAAAAAAAAAAAAAAAAAAAAAAGAGAGAGGGAAACTCACTTTGGTACTTGGATGAGCTGGAGGAAGAATTTCTCGGCGTTGCCGAGCTTCGACTTGTCGCCGTCGAAGCCCTTGAGCATTTCGAGCTCGTCGACCTCCGGCAAGATCTTCAAAAGGCCCCTTAGCTTCTCGGCGCCGATGTCGTCGTGACCCCCGTCCCGGATCAGCTGGATTATGTCCTCGTTCGAGCTGCAAGTTTCAATTATTATACTTTCGTTTTTTTTTTTTTTTTTTTTTTTTTTTTTTATTCATCATCACCCATTAAGCATGTCATTGTACCGACCTCCTAAACTGCTTCAAAAATATGTTGACGTTCAAGCTCCTCTTGCCGTCCAGCAGCGCGATCTGCGGATAAACGCGTAGTGTCATGGATCGTATATCATATCATTATTACAAAAAAAGTCGGATAATAGTTATGGAGGTTCAGCTGCCTGACCTCGGTGGGCTCGCGTCGGCGTCTCTCGGCGTCCGTGCCGTTGGCCGAGCCTCCGGTACAGTTGGCATTGGCGGGCACCATCGGGGGCACCTGCTGGCAGAACAGACCCTCCATCTCCGCCCAGTCGAGGTCTGCCATTGGCGAGTTCTGGTGCTCGTTGGCGACCAGCGACCAAATGTTCCGCTTACCGATCACCTGCGCCGATTCAAGTCGAGACAGGTAGTGTCGTTACTTGGCGATATCACCAATAGATATTATAATATATGATATGGTTGTAATCAACGTATGTGCACCTTGTGGTTCGGGATCTTGTTCCAGTTGATGGTCTTCATCTTGGCCTTGGGGGTGGGTATCTCCTGTTGGGGCAGGAGCTTGGCCCCGGTGCCGGTGGGTGGCTCGGGCGTGGGCACTCGGGCCGAGCCGGTACCACTCGAGCCCGCACCGGCCGGCTGGGCCGACAACTGCAGCAACAAACTGTTGGGAGGCGGCGACGGGGGTGGTGGGCCGCTCGGGGTCAACGTAGGCTGCTGTTGTAGCATGACGAGAGGCGGGGGTGGCGGCGGTGGTGGGAGTATGAGCGCCGGGGCAGGCGGGGGCGGTGGCGGGGGTGGCCCCGGGGCTGCACCTGTGATCCCGGGCATCGTTGCCGTGGTGGCGGTCGTCGTCGTTGGCACCGAGGACTTGCGGCTGCCGCCGCAGGTCTGGTCGGCGCCTCGACAGTGACAGCATAGATTCGTCTGTGGAGATTATACAATGAATAACACGAGATTTTCCATATAAATTTCTTTGATATAACCCAATGTGGAATAATAATAATAATAATAATTATATTCATGTTAAGTAAAGTATGGGTTATTGGGTTATTGGAGGATGCTGCGTACTTGCAAGCTGGGCGACCTCAGGAGTTTGGTGGCGTCATCCCTGTTCTCCAATAGGGTGGCCCGGTGAACCAGCGTCTCGGCGGTGTCCCAGGCAAGATCGCTAGCCGCCTCCTTCGGGTCGAGTCGCAGCAAGTGCTGCAGTATACTCAGGAAGGGTATCTCCTGCGGCGTGTCTGCGACCTGTCGATTCGTTATGTACGGGTAATATTTTATACGTATAGAACCACAGCTGCATGGGAGGAATATAATGTAAAGGGTATATATAGGTACAAAACCTACCTGTCCGAGAATGGCATAAAATACATCGACGTGGGAGGATAAATCGATGCCGGGAGGTCCCTGGTTCGATAGCTCCTCGTCCGTGTCACGTTGATCGTCAAAGACGTCGAGCTGCACCCTGAGGTCCGGCACGTGGCTCTTGTCCTTTCTGTACAAAGTAAGGACATTGCGATCGGGCTCGTACAGATATAAAAGGAGAGCCTCTCCCTTTTTGTTTTGTTTTTCCTATCTATCTATCTCCCATACCCTCTTTACTTGTACAATTTGTTTTTAATATGAAGCGTAAGTATAGCTGATGTTTGCACGATTGTGTCAAAAGTGAAGCAAAGAACGAACGATCGGTCCCAAGAGCTGTAGGCGCACAATAATTCAATACGAAAAATATATCACATCGAATACCCAAAGCTCCACGTGAAAATGCGATAAAACCCAATTAACCAATCACCTCGATCGTTAACTGTATAGTAAATCGGCACATACAGATTTAAAAAAAAAAAAAAAAACAACGATCTACATCCATTAAAGTGCTCGATGATCCGATATATATATATATATATATTGGCAAGTGGAAAGGGAATAAAGGATTATATACTTGTAACGACGCCCGCGTCCGTAGCCGCACGAAAAGACGGATGAATGGACGGGGACGGATAGCGCGTTCACGCACATCCGATCCGGCGATTTGGAATTTCAATCGCGTACGGCGCGCGCCGAGGGACACCTCGCCGGATTGACAATTATCATCTCTCTCTCTCTCTCTCTCTCTCTCTCACTATACATATACACCGTGCGGAGTGTAAATAATACAGAGAAAAGGAGAGGCCCATTGTATAAGGGGGCGCTACGGGGGCCGGATGAGCGCAGTTAAACGCCGGTGGCAACTAAATGCGCTTCTCTCTCTCTCTCTCCGCGCAATCCGTTACGCTTAACGGAAATCAAAGTCCATATCACGTGGGTATTATATATATATTGTATAGGCTTTAGGTACCTATATACACCTTTGGACACGCAAAGAAGAGAGCCACTGCTATACGTATATATATATAGCTAATGATGATAGGACGAACCGTCACGTGGCCCATTGTTGATATATTATTGTGCTCGTTGTATGTACCTGTCATTGTGTATATACTACCTATGGGCGGAAAAGTTGATTGAGCGCCAATGACTTGTGCAAGACGTATATGTGCGCTTACATCGATGATATTTATATTATATATACTTGCCGTGGCGGTTTGTACATGCATTGTTAGCCGTAAAGGTGATGTTGATCGGTAATCGGCCGATGCAATTTTATACAAGTATCGGGGTGTCGGGGGGGGATAATTTGTCAATCGGATGAGCACCACCAGGTCCGCTGATATATAGGCGTAGGTACAATACGTGTATGTGTAAGAGAGTTGTCTTCTTCCTCGCGCGGCCTGTTATCTAGGTTAATGGTCCCCGTATCCCCCGCCTACGGCCAGACTACGGCGCCGCCGATGGGGTCGCGAGCCACTCGAGTATACTTTAATTTTATTGTCGCAGCGGCAGCGCGACGACACCGATAAGCGCATGATATACCTACGTGTGACGTTATGTATATACCTATAAGAGGGAAGATGCCACGCTGCGAGGAACATTGAAATATACATGCACACCCATACTGTGTAGATAATGGGCACACTCCTTTGTGATGCTATGTATTTTGTGTTCGCCCCGCTGCCGGTCACTCATCCTCTTACGCGAGGGTATAGATGAGGTGTACCTATACCTAATTAAATTTTCTTTCGTTCGTTTGCACGACACGACTCTACGCCCCAAAAGTTTTGTCGCGGAATATTTCTCCCCTTGTACTTTCCCCCTCGCGACTAGAATTTTTCAGGGATTCGAGATACTTTTCATTGTATTCGGGAGTCGATCCGCGAAAGTGCAGCGTCGACTTGCCGATTTTTCGATTCTAGTAGATCCAGTAGTTGGAATAATTATTTTACTACCGTATAACACAGGCAACAAACTTGAAGAACTGTCCCACCGGCAAATTTACTCGGTGAATATCTCTCGTTGGGATGTCCACCCCACCTACTTACCTACGAGCACCTTTGGCCACATAATAATATGTATACACACTTATAGAAGTGCACCGACGGATATCTCGGGGTTTATTTTAGGGCGGTTATTTTAAATATACCATAGTCACATACTAGCGTGAATCACGCGCGCGCGGTTAGCCTTCTCGCGTCTAGCTGTTACAAGATATTCGTTGAATCCCACGTTTCCGTGCGCGAATCACACGCCCCTACCATCGCTGTTATAACTGTCGCGCGGGGGCAAACGCTTTATTTTTCATACCCTCCTTGCTATGTATATATACACATACACATTGGTATCTCGTGACAAAAGATTTAGCCCGTATATCGAGTATATTTTTTCTTTCCCATTAACGTGTGCACTGACCTGCAGATAAATAAGTATGTATACATATATTGCAGAGTGAGGGGGGCCCCTAACGAGTTCTCAGCAAATCATGTCCCAACTCCCGCAATTACGAGCGAAATCCATCACTTCGGACGTAAGTACCGCGCAGCAGTCGTAGGTTTACGAATTGCAAAGCAATCAATGGGAATCGCCAGAGAAAACATAATATACTTGATCTCCGAGCCGAGAAAGAGTCGAGCGAGCGAGGAGCTCTTCTCTTCCTATAATAAATATATATATATCCGCGGGAGGGGAAGGGGCCATATACATACACTTGCGAGCATCACATATACGTGTGCATGCGTGTGTCTCTCACTTATCAAACTCGCACACGAGTGCGGTCGGTTCCCTCTTGGAAAAATAAATAGTTACGAAAAAACGAGGAAAAAAAAAAAAGACCGCCGCTAGCTATAGATAAACACGTCTATTAGTAATATATACATACCGAGCCGGCGCGATGCGTGTATTTTAACAGTAAAAAAAAAAAAGTCGCGTGTCGCGATAATGCGTCCATTATATATTTATATACATATTATGAGCATATATTTTGTGCGAAAAAGGCCTAAATTTCATGCCCAGGGTATAATAAACGAATGAATAAAAAATAAAAAAAAAATAAAAAAAATAAAAAAAAAACAACCAAATGTGTATATTTTCTCGAGAGTCTTGACGGCGATAGAAGCGTGCGATCGCTGCAGTTGACTGGAGCTGCTGAGGGTATATGCATGCATACATAATGAAACGGTGATGTATACGTATATATATATGTATATATGTATAACATGATAGTGGGCACACACAGACTGGAAAGAAAAAGAATAAGAGGAAAGAAAGAAAAATACGCACCCACACACGCGCACTCCCATAAAAAATGCAGCACTGGCAGGCGGTATCTACTACTGCCTCCGAGGAAGTGTGTATATATATATATATATATATATAATATACAAGTGCTTTTATATATAACTGCCACAGCTATATACTGTCGTACAAATGTATATACCGTTGAGAAGTAAAGGCCGGAGCCAAGTTTTTGTGCGGCGGGATGAGGATCGCTCGCGCAACATTAAGTTTGTAATATCATCACGTATCAATGAAGACGTTTTTACCACTCTGCTGAAGTAAGTATAGGTACTCGTAGTATTTATGCAGGAGGTAAAAGTATATTGCAATTAGAAATTCACTCGGATCACTACTTATATATGAAATAAACTCGCGTGCGCGCACCAGCGAGATGTGCCAAAAAAAAAAAAGTTGAAATCGCGTGAACCCGCGAGAGAGTACACTTACACGACGCGTTCATTCACGAGTAGCACTTGGTGATAACTGTACATGTATACATATATAAATACCGCGTGATAAGGATACACGCAGATTACACCTCGATACAGGTGTAAGTATACTTTGGGTCCGCGCGTGCCCCCGTCGGAGTCGAGCTTGCGGCGAGTGCGCTCCGAACTCCGGATGAAACTGACTGTCTATACTTTGGCGCTTGTACTTGCTACCGCCGGGGGACCGATGATGATGCCACACTGCAGCCCAAAGTACAACCAACCCATGCGCACACATACGCGCTGTGTACATATACAGCTATATTCGTGGGCGCGTGCAGCGCATTACGCGTGTGGGTATACATATATATAATAGATACGCGTCTCCAGTCGGCATCGCATTGGCCGCGTCTTCTTCGGAGGAGCGCCCCGGCCCTACCCACCCCACGCCCGAGGGATATATAGCGTGTGCTTTCTCCCTCCCTCCCCCGACTTCCCGTCCGGGGCCTCCTCCCTTCCCGGCTCGGAAGTTAATTCGGGAGCCCGCGTTCGCGTTATTCCCTCCCGTGTCCGCTCTCTCGACTCGTCGAGCTTTTCTCCTCCTCCCTCCTCTCGCCTATACACTCCGCTGTCCCTAAAGGTCACTGGGAATGTGGATAGATGCGCGATGTCTATTTCTCGCTGGTATATAGCTATCCCCTCGCTACATGGCTCCTATACACACGCGTACTCCCATATGCAGAGAGATCAAATAATCGGCACGTGATCGTATCCAACGTCCCTCTATACACATGTAGCGTTATACTACGGTCCCATCTAAAATACCAATAGGTCGAAAAATAACCGCCTATAATGAGCTTTGGACTCGCTATCTCGTACGCGGTACCCCTCACGTTATGGCTTTTTTCCTTTTCTTATCACATATTTACCAAAGTACGTTGTATTACTTACCGAAGCAACGTACAGGAAATGTCGAGGTCGGTGCTACTACCGTCGTCTCGTTAAGCGCTCACAATGTACACACACACACACACACACACACACACACACACACACATATATATATATATATATATTTAATTTACCCATGGACGGATGTTTAGCCGCGATGGCTCTTATATTGTTGTACACCCAAGCAGCCGGTGCGGTGTTTTTATAGTAAGAAATACTCTCGGGTCCCTCTCCGAATGCCACTTGGAGATCTCCATCCGTCCGAGCACCACTATAGGTGTAAATATATGTATATATAAATATATACCACCGGCACTTCTTCCCCCTTTGGCTTCCCGATCGGGTGTTTCTCCATTTGTATCGCGTGCGATCGTTTATATATTTGGAGCGTGCCATGGGGAGAGCGAAGCGAGACATTCATGGGATGAGCGAGGTATAGCTGTACATATAGACACCCCACCGCATCTATATACATACATACGTTCGGGTAACAGCCAAGAGTGACGTTTCTGCATTTCAGAAAAAAAGTCGTAAAAATAATAATAACCATCACGTATCGTTAAATCGACGATCCGTACGTGTTTATAGCGATTCGCGGTACAAATACACGACTAGTTAAGACGACATCAGACAGGCTCGAATAGGAGGATTTGATTGGCGGCGCGTGACGAGCGAATACATCCACCACGGAAAAGTTACAAGTACGAGTAAGTATACGTATAAAATTTACGAGCCGTAAAAATTTAAAGCCGGTGAATATAATATGGTATGGTTGAAGCAGTGTTGCACCGGTGGTATAAAAACATTGATATTAGTTACGCGCATACGTATAGACTATCATCATCATCATCGTCGTCTTCCAGGGAAGCGCAATTACACACTCGATGATATTACGTAAAAGAAGACAAAAACTTGTTGTACAAATGTTATACGTACATTGTGTGCTGATCATGTATAGTCATGAAGCACCAACGGCATTTATATATATATATATATATATATATATATATATATATATTTTTTTTTTTNGTGAGCATAAATATATACTTTTTACAAGTGTATACCTACGCGTGAGAGAGAGAGAGAGCCAGTGGCGCTTGAGCTTTCTTTTTACGATTGCCAGGCAGTCGCGCGGAAAAAAGTTGGGAACCACGAGACCTTTAAACTTTGGCAGATGTATCGCATCGGGGCTGAAAAGACATATTTATGGACTATAGGTGTTAGCTCGTCAACACTTGAGCTTCCCGTAGGTACACAACCGATTGATATTTCGGACCCTTTTATGAGCATACTATACAAAAAAGGTTAAAGGTCTCACAGGCTCCCAAATATATATCTTTCGTGAGTATCAGTGGCGACTCGCGCCACAGGTTGTAGGTGTATATTAGATCCATGCCACCTTTTCCCGCGCCTACATTTCTACATACGTATCGTGAACCGTAATTTTAACCATTGCTAGCGGCTCGCGTTCTCATTTATTTCGTAATCGCATGGTGAATTCAAACGAGCCTGCATCGTCGATCAAAACGTACGCTTGTATCGTTTCGTTCGACCCATATGCAGTACACGCGAAACCAACACAAAAAAAAAAAAAAAAAAAAAAAACGCAAGCTTGAAATTTTCAATGAGAGTAAGATTATGCAAGTATGAAGCGAGGACAATACCCTAGAGGTAGTTTTTCGTCATTTCATCATCATTATTAGTATACACAGGTGCATCGTATGTAGGTGGTACACATACTCGATAATGAGTGTACTGTCACGGTGACTTTGTTGGTGGTAACCCCCATATAATGTATATGCACAATTACTCATTGTTATTGTCAATGTAAGAATATCCATCTCCAGCGTGTATAATGTTACATTTTGCAAAGCTCTCATATTATACGGTATACGCCTTGATGTATAAATCTTACGTATAGTATGCATCTATATGCGTATACACGATGATTCAGTAAATATACTCACCGAAGGTCGTTGAGAACCGGTAGGAGTTTCAGGCCTGAAAGTAAATTTTATAATGAACCGGTGTTACGTGTACGGTCGCCTATGCATATACTATGTACCATGTATACATATATATGGTTACTTGGATTATATCAATACCAAAAGTAAACTATTGCAATGTTATGCAAATTAATTAATTAATCTCACCGATAAACTCGTTCCTGATGCGCACGCGGTCCTTGAGGACCGGGGCTGAAATGACTAGACAGTTGATAAATGCGAGCAGGGCGGTCTGGTAATCCTCGGCCGTGGCTTTCCGCAACTCGTCGACCACGACGAGCAGCCGGTAGCGCTCGCCCTTGCGCTCCTGCAAGTTCCACGCGACGATAAAATCATGAAAATGTATATATATATATATACACAGACACGGGACGCCAGGCGCCACTTGTACCAATGGGTATACAGATATGTATAAGTAATTAACAAAGAATAGGTGTATGGGGATAGAAAAGTGTTCGAAGCCCCTTTGCCCCGCCGCGCTGGTTTCTGTCGTGGTGCCTATGTGTAGTGAAAAAAAAAAAAAAAAAAAAAAAAAAAACAATGACGAACGGCAAGGCAGTGCCGCCCATGCCGACCAAGGGAAGAGAGTGCCGTGTGGAGGCCTTTTCATTGTCCTCGGCTATCCGCGAGGTACGTATATTTATATACCTGTATGTATGGTATAGGCATGCCCACGCGCTGGATTCTCTCTTGCAAGCCCAGGAGGTGTATACGATACATACTTGTAATACTACCAACGACAGCTACAACGTCGAGGACTCCCGAGAATTCACCGACCAACTTATTGTTGGGCTTTCCCGTCTATATGTATATATCGTGTATGCGACAAATATTGGTGAGGCCAATTGTATCGACAGCTGTGGGAAAAGCAAGCGCTGCTGAGAAAATATAAAAGCTCCATCTCAAAACTCACGTGTAAGGGAGCATAGGAAAACAAGGTGTATATTTAACGCACTTTTGATTTGCCATTTAGATGTATACCCATACAATAACTCCATCTTTGTCTTTGAGACGAAAACGTTTTGTTTTTTTTTCCCCCCGTCACGAAACAACAATGACAATATGATCTCGTGTATAGGTACCATGTGCAGTATCGTATTCCGCACGCGCCGAGGCTTATATATATTATATACAAAAAAGTGGGAAAACAATGTTTTGTAACATCGTGTACTACCTGGTAGCTGTGAAGAGTGTCGATGGCGCGCTGACGTCCATCTTGGCTGTAGACGCAGAGGGCCGACAGTAACTCAACTACTTGCTTCTTCACCGACGGACAGGCCGTGTCCAGAGCTGTCGATTATACACGTACAATTGAGTCGTAAGTGCGTATAAGCATTCGTGGGACGGGGTGGGGGGGGAGGAGATGTTAATTAAAATCAGCGGGAAGTGAAATTATAAAATAATCGAGGTAGAAAATATAATACGTGTGGGTAAAGGAACGCTTACCGGAAGCGAGTTTCTGACAGTAGTCGGGGTTATCCACAATGTAGTCCAATCCCACGTTGGAATCCATCTTGGCTGCCGCATTTGCTACGATTTAACGCTCGTCCCGATCTGCAAAACGGCAAATATCAATCGGTTGTAAATTAACTATAGGTCCGAACGGCCTCGCTGCCTCCGCGGAACCAATTCACATACATATATATATTTATTTCGATACCAATAGGTAACATAATATGTATGGTAATTTTTTTGTTTGTTTGTTTTTACAAAACAACAATCAGCCGATACTATTGGCGATTCCTGTAACGCAAACGTCGTTTTGCATAACGCGCGTGGCTCTAAAAGTATATAGGTTGGAGGAAAAAAAAAAAATCATCGAGAGATATGAGTGTAGAGGTCGATATGGACCACGAGTTTCTAGGGCAGCAGATAAACAGAACAAGTACCTACTCAAGGAAGGAAGGAAGAAAGAAAGTGTATATAAGGGGCGGGAGGGAGGGAGGGAGGTGGGGTGCATAAAAGATTCTCCCGCGCGATCTCTCTATTATGGTACAGGCAGGATCCGAGTGTTCGACGGCCGCGGGTGCATGACTTCCGGTTTCATCATCGAAACTCATCTCAGCTCCAGCCCCGCGCTCGATCGGCTATTCATTGGCTCGGAGGGGGAGACTTTGCTTTCTCTCTTATACCCTCCTCTCGCGGGAGCGTGTATATGCTTATAATATCGTGCTGGATTTTTAAGCGGATAAGCGGGTTACTGCTGCCGTGTGCATACGTACCCCGTGAGAGAAGACAACCAAATAGACGGGGACAAGGGGCACACACACACACACATATATATATATATGTACGTATAAGGTCTAGGTTGCTGATCGAATATTCAAAATCGAAAAGGTAGATATGTTCCATCGTGTCGGTCGCCGTTGTCCCCCCCCCCCTCCCACTTTGCATCCTCTTGCCCGGTATTGTTGCTGCTGCTGATGTCCCCACCCCCTTCCCTCCCTCATCAATTATTCATTCCGCGGCGTGCTGCTCCTAAACATCTATATTTTCTCTCGTGTTGTGTCCTCGCGCGATCACGTGTATACATGTAGGTATGTACATTGGCAGAGGTATATATATATATATATATATATATATATATATATATATATATATATACGTATTTATAAAAAGATCGGCACAAACGTCGACGTTTATGGCACTTTTTTTTTTTTTTTAACATTTGCAGTGCAACTGTGTGTATACAGAGAGATTCGCCGTATGTGTATTACTGCGCCCGCGTGCTCGGACGTCAAAGTCGAATTGAGTAAGAGACAACGATGAGATGGTCAACGGGCCCGTTGTAAGTGTAACCGATGCATATATTTTAATCCTCGTGAGCATAATATAATGTATACATACATACATGTAGGTATAGGTACTACTCACTAATGTGATAGCTACACGGAGTTGGATAATTTATTTTACTACTCGCCTTTCTCTTGCCTCCATGTAAGTAAATGGCATAAGTATACGTAGGTATATAGGTAAGTACCGGCTTAATTTGAAATTTAAGTGCATCGTCCGAGTGTGCCTGTATACCTATGCAGCAGCAGCATGCGCCGGAGACAATTTGCAAATCGTGAGCTACCAACGTGGCATCGGCTCAATTTTCTCATGCTGCTGCGCTGTGCACGCTTACCTCCCCCCCCCCATTCTCACCCAACACGTACCTCACGCGGCATATCATATAAGCCATCCCTTACCCCCGTTCAATTTATTCATACTTATTTTATTATTATTATTATTTGTTGTTGTAGCCTGATCGAACCAAATCCAAAAGTAATTAAAATTAACGCGAGACGCCCTCCCGACCCTGTAGGTATAGTGCTCTCTGGAGCTCGTGTTGCCGAGATCGCGTGCAAATAGCGTCAAGTGCATGATGATTATTATACCTATACCGTACATCGCACGCGTAAAATGATGATTTTTTTTTTTTCCCCTCGGCCCTTGTACCTGTTTGATTTCGTCGAAAGTATATAAAATAAATACACCATATATTTTTTGTATCCCCAACCATATATATACGATTAAACCGTGCCCGCGCGTTGCTGCACAGGCAAAATATCAGCTACTGCATGCGCTGCTGATTATTTACGACACCTGTAGGTGTGCGAGCGCGTATAAGTGATGCAATCGCCTTTCCATATTAGGGCCCCCGCACCATCGCGATCGGCGCACGCGATCCATCCGCGATCCATACGTGTATATTGTTGCATCCTTGCGTGTCTCGTGCGTGATGCCTCGCAATGCAGTTTCCTACCGATGCCAATTACAAACGCGTCGTATGCGGTGTTTGTTGATCCGCCGGTGGAAACGTTAAAAATTCAGGTCCAACACATACCGGAATATACCCCTGATCCTGCATACCTACGTGCAATTATACAAGTGGAATCATATTTGTTCGTTCAGCGTAAAATTCTTATTGCCGATCGCCGATCCCCGACTAACGTTTACAGCCACGGGAATCAATGAAAACTTTGTAGATTCCTCGTATTCTTGCAGTGAAACACTATTTCGCGTCCACAGGTATATGCATACCTATCCTTGTATACCTACCACCGAACGAACGAATAGCCGAGTTTCGCGTGGTTTGTATTGTTCGTTTTATTGAGCCGTTTGGAGAAGAAAGGCAGCCGCGGAAAAAACGCCGAAAAATTCGAATTGTGTGGCAAACCTGTATATATTTATATACGTGCGCTCACGAGGGTAACTACATAAAGAGAGAAATCCAGTGATATAAAGAATGTCCCAAGTGCATGCGTGAATTGCGAATTAGCCGCTCACTTGAAAAGATAAATTGCGCCCGCAAGCGAAGAGAAAAAAGGTACGCGAGTGAAATATTGCCGTACCACATGACCTCTCGTGTATCATTTTTGTGATCCTCATCCGCGACCCCGAGCTGTTTTGCAAGTGTAACACTTGCTGCACGGAGATCGGCGAGCTTATCGATTTTCGACGATTTTCAAGCGCATATGGGCATACGCGTATATACATGTATATGTATATTGAAATCGACACCTCATCGTTGCAGGCGGGCAGACTCATCGTGGGCTGAAGGAGAAAAAGGAAAGCGAGAGAGAGAGAGAGGGGACAAAAAAATTAGAGGAAATAAAGATAAACGAAGTGCGTGCGGTTGAAAGAGAAATACGCCAAGGCTCGAGAAAGAAACGAAAAAAAAAAAACACCAAGAGCGAGGGTGCAGAGATGCGCGTGTCGCGCGTTTGTTGTTTCCTTTTTATGGTTCATACAACATATACAGAAAGAGAGACGAGAAGAGAGAGAGAGAGATAAAAGCCGTACGTGCACTGTGTAGGTATATACAATGATAATAACCATATATAGTCATGCTCTGTAAATGGTAACGAGCATTCAATAAACGATCAAAACGAGTATAACGTAGCCAATCGTATGGTTGAAAAAAAATCGATGGACGATGAGGAACCACACTCGAAACGCCTTATTTATTTATATACAAATTTGGATTTTCAGTGTATCCGTGTAACATCTAGTGTTGTAATTATTTGTAATTGTGTGAAGAAATCAGGTGGGGAGGGGGGGGGCAAAGGAACCAATGTTATATAAATATTGTACACACGCTGAAGGTTACACCACGTAAATGCACGCGTTACCCGAGTGAGCAAAAGTATAAGCGTGTACGTAACAACGCACAGAAATGAAGGAGAGCGTCGTGGTGGAGATGATGACTGGATCGCGTTATCCGAGTGTTGGGTGCATCCGCAACAGCGGAGCGAGAGGGAGGGGGATCAGATGGAGAGTAATAATAAACGAATCCACGCACTCTGCTCTCGTACGCATATAGACACATATATGTATGTATAGGCACCGTGTATTTTATGTTAATATTGTAATCGGCGGCGCCAAGGAACGGATGCGTCTCTCCTTCTCTCGCCGCGACGCAACTGCAATGTTTGCGATGATGATTTTCTTTGCCGAATCACATGAATATGGTTTTTTTTTTTTTTTTTTTTTTTGTTTTTTTTATACATGTATAGGTACAAGTACATACCTGTTTAAAGAAAACACGAAATTTGTTGATAAATGTCACAACAGGCCGAAACGGAATAGACCGGGCTCAAACAGTGATGAACCGGGAAAAATTATTCACACCCGATTTTTTTGTGCTTTCTTGTTCAAGATATAGTAATGTACCTAAAAGTTCATCTTGCCACCCAAGAATGTGGTCAGGTATTGTTTAAACAATTTCGTCAAAGTTGTTTTTTCGACCTGAAAAAAATATTCTCAGATTCTTTGGCACATTTCGAACAAAAAACCAATTGGAATGTATATACCTAAAGCCCACTGTTTTCGAGTAAAAAATTCCCAAAGTTTCAAAAAATGCATTTTTTCTGGTTTCCAGATCTCCACGAAAGTGCTAAATAAAAATAATTTCATATGTTACAACACACGATCATAAACTATAAGCCTTCCTCTACAATCTCAAAAGAAAAAATGTCGAAAAGTTGAATGGCAAAATTGTTTTTTGCAATAAACGTTCAGGGCGTTTCGGCGCGCGCTCACATGGGAGTGTACACCTATATATGTTCACTACACGTTGAGCCACGAAACATATGTATAGGTATACACTCCATAACGTACGTACATCCGTCATAATTGTTCATTTCAATCCATTAGCATCGGAGCAAAGACGCACATACCTACTTATAAACACAATATTTCTGAATGAATTTTTCTGTGTGTATCCGTAGACGTAGCAAATATACTGGCTAAATGGCGCTCGATGTAATTAATTATCAGCAATGACAACGAAGATTTTCGTATCATGTGAAATCGATTTAAATGTAAAATTTACCATCGGTTGCGCAATGCCAAAAACCATTGAACCCTAACAGTCTCGTCATCGTCGGTATTTCTTCTCACAAGCGAATTCACGAGCTCCGATGGAAAAAAAAAAAAAAAAAAAAAAAAAAAAAAGCCGTAAATATGAATCTCATGAAAATTAATAGCTCGATTAATCGTGGGTGTTTCGATGGAGGAAGAGGCGACGCGATTCGTGATGCAAGTGGCGGGCCATCTCCGATGCTCTC